TTGGAAGCCTAACCATGATAGTTCCAGCTGCTGATGCAGCCCTGGCGGTTGCGTACTCCCCTGTCACAAATTGAAGGATCTCACTATTAAATTGTCAATCAAATTGCTTTCGATGAAACTATGAAGGTTCATTATAATTATGTTTAAAAATCAGTTCCTGCACTAATGAGAATATAAAAGCCGATCAGATATGCACATGATGTAATGATCCAATTACAGCTCTCCTTTTAAATGCAATAAGATCTATCAAGAAGGAATCCGCAAAACTGAGGTTTTTGGTATAGGGATATACTTGGAGAAAGTGCTTATGTAACAAGGAAAAACAATGATGTCAATAATGGTTAATCCACTGAAGGCATCTTGCTTTCTAGTTTGTCTAGTGTCTACATAAGCATATATGTGCAAAGGAACAGAACCTGGCTATTCTTAATTGATATTGTCTCATCCAATAACTTGATTCTAATATAAATGTTCAACATATAGGAGGATAATCCTTTTGAGAAAACAGTGCCATACCTTCAGGATGAGCCATTTTCTGCATGGCTGTTGGGGCAATCATGATGGGCATTGATATCTTGAAACCCAAAACAGTGGTAGTCATGTCTATCTTGCTCACATCAATAAGAATGCGAGGACGAAACCTTTGCATTATAGGAATAGAGTTTAAGAAATTGAGGCGAAAACAATTAGACAGAAAGGAATCGAATCTAGTGTCTTGCAACAACAGATAGAAAGCTCACAGGATCCTTGAGAATGCATTTCTGTTCTCCTGCAAAGTCCACTGGTCCTCTGCACCAGATGCATAGTAGTCATATACCATCTTTGGCAACTTTTGCTTTGCAATTGCATCATACTCACTGACATTGGTTATCTCCATATTTGCTGTGAAGTTTTAGTGTTCTGCCTGGAAATTGTCTATTACTTAGTATTTCAGGGACAGAAGGAACTTAATAAGACTGATGATTTACTCATTAGGACAACATCCAATCAAATGGTGGACTTAAAATTAGAGAAATGTTGTTCTAGACTACGGCAAAAGAATATTATATAAAAGAGTTCCAAATGCATGAATAAAACAACAGTGAGGAGAAAAAACAATTGACAGGATAAAATATATAAGATACAAATCCAGGTTTGACAGCATATGATGAAAGCAGCCAAACTCGTACTCTCATATCCATAATACATATACAAGCGAGAAATCCACTATTCTGGGACACTATCTACACTTTAAGTAATTGTCTAATACAAAAAATATTGAAGCTCTTCCATTGGGTTGCTAGAAAAAAGATATCAAAAGAAAGAAATAAAAAGCAAATTAAGTAACAATTTTCAGCATTAGTACTTTTCTTCAAGAATCTCTCCGCCCGAGTTAGTGAAAATACAAGAAGCTGTGGTTTGCTATTAGGCCCTTGGTTTCTTTGTATATATCTTACTTATAACCCAAAAATAAAAGTAATAAAAGAAGGAAAGGGGGCAAAAGAAGTAGGAAAGATATTGAACACATACACATAAATAAATTGAAAAACACAACCATAAAACAAGTACACAGAGAAAGGTGTTGAGCCAAAAACAAGTCATGTAATAACAAAATTGTAGCCGAAAAGTAATGAAATGAGAATAAAATAAAGTAGAGAAAAGCATACCCCTGGGTTCCAAGATTATGCACCGGAGTATATGGAGAGAAACCAGTTAAGAGGTAAACTCTAGTATATATCTTAACATAAGAGAAAGAAGCAGATTGCAAATAAAAGAAAATAAAAATAAAAAACAAAGGGTTTATATATATGAGTTTGGAAGGTGGTAGAAAAAAAGTGAGGTACATATTATAACATCTAGCACATATAAACCATATAAAAAAAGGGGAAAAGAAATAAACGTGGCAAAATACAAATTAAGTGGATGAGCATTTGGAGGTGAGAATTTCAGACCAAATCCCGTTAGAGCAATTGGCGGACTCTCATCCACATACCCCTTGTGTGTTTCACAGCTTTTCTTTCTCTATTATCATTTCTCATCCAAAAATAAATAAAAGAATAGGGAAAAAAGATTAGCATAATGAAGGGATATAACAAAGCAAGAAATTCCAGAGAAGTGAGTAACTCTCAAAACTGGAAATTACAATATAAGCTGTAATTATACGAAGTTATCATAATAAACTCCAAATTAAATCAGTCAATCTCTTTATGTTCATCCTCTCTTACATAAAAGATTCTTAACAAGTTGTCCATTGTGGTCAAACTAGCTAACCATTTCCTTTTGGAGTGGCAAAGAATATCTATATTATGGTGCTCGAATAAGAACTTGCAAAGGGATAATTATTTTGCTGTTGTTCCTGTGCTCCTACTTGTTAGACTAAAAGCTCCAATCTAATTCACATCAGCAGAAGCATAATCAAATAATGAATTAAATATATAAGAGACAATAATTTAATGTGGTTCAGTCCAATCGATCTACGTTTACGGATGAGAAACAAGATCTATTAATTGTAAAAAATTACAAACATACAAATCAAATCATTAACCTCACTCAATAATCATACTCATAAGACACTCTCAATCTTCTCTAGTCCTATAGAATATTTCAACCAAACAAACACAAATCATATGTACCCTTTCAACACAAACAAACACATACTCAATGTACCCTCATTCATGATACCTATGTGACTCTCTAATCTTATCTAGTCCACTACCAAACATTCAAATATATACACCCCATAAGATGTAAATCCCCACTACTCCTATGTGGTGTTTATCCCACAAAACCCTACAACTCTCTTACATAACCCTATAAAAGACTACTTATTTATAAAGTATGCAAACTTATCTATTGAGAATCCATTTCCTTTATAATTCTTTCTTTGCAAGTTAAACTTGTATTTTAAGAATCCATTTTCTCTTAGAATTCTTTTCTGCAAGTCTTCTTATTCTAACCAATCCAAACAAATATGTTATGAGATTTGAGTCATTATTCTTAACAATTTCACATTGACTCAATTCTATCAAACATCTGTCTTCATGCTACACATGCTTAGTTTACCTGCAATGAAGTCTTACAATCATCTTCTCTTAGTGTTTTCACACTTCACACAAATCAATCTATCAAATCATGAACTTGAACTCCTCTTGAATTGAGCTCCTTTGGGCTTACCTCTCATTCTCATGACTCAAACCATTAGCTTTTCCCACATCTTGAACTTTTAGCTCTGATATCACTTGTTGGATCACCAAGTTTTGTATCACTTATTAGTCCAAAAGCCCCAATCTAATTCATGTCAACGAAAGATAATCAAACAATGAATCAAACACATAAAAGACAATAATTTAACATGATTCGTCCAACTAACCTACGTCTACGGATGAAAAATAAATCACTAATTGTAGAGCATTAAAAATATACAAATCAAATCATTAACCACACTTAACAATCAATACTCATAAGACACTTCAATCTCCTCTAGTGTTATGAGTATTCTCAACCCAAACAAACACAAGCTCATGTGCATATTTTCAATACAAACAAACATATACCCATGTGTACCCCTATTTATCATACTTATGTGGACCCTTTCAATCTCTTCTAGTCCATTCTCAAGCATTCAAATATCACACCCATAAAACGTAAATCCTTAGTACTCCTATGATGTGTCTATCCCACAAAACTTTGCAATTCTCTTACATTTTTTTTCATACCTAACATTGTAAAGACTTTCCTATTTATAAGCATGCAAACTTACCTATTAAGAATCTTTTTCATCTTAGAATTTTTCTTCTATAAGTCAAACTTATCTTTTAAGAATCTATTTTCTCTTAGAATTCTTTTTTTATAAGTTTTCTTGTCCATCAAACAATATCTAATCAATCTCAAACAGATCTGTTATGAGATTTGAGTTATCATTCTTAACACTACTCTCTATAGAAATTGCACACTATTACTGGTCCTTAGCTACATGGCCTGTATAGTGATTACTGTTTGAAATGTTACAGTTAATGCTAATTATTAATTAAAGCACAAAATATTAGAAGGGTAATCTAGTAAAGATAAAGGTAAAAACTTAGGGTTCAAATGCAAACAAAGAACCTAATTCAATTAGGATTTATTTGAAACAAATCTTATCTGAAAATGAGCAAGATGGAAGTAGATTGAAATGCAGCTCATGTCATCATCTCTTTAGTCATAACATATCTTCTTAGCCTCATATATATACACACACACACACACATATATATATATATCCATTGTTGTTTTTAATTGAAATTATTTTCAGAATAGAAATAACATCTTTGTTTTTTATTATCAGTGAAAAAAATCGAAAATCAATTCGAAATTGTAGTATTCGGTTCATATTAATTTTTTTATTCGATTTAGATTGATTTTTTTTATTTGATTTAGATAAAATTCAGATATTAAATATAAATATATATATATATATATATTAGGTTCGAATCGAAATTTGGATCAAGAGATGAAAAAACTAAAAAAAAAAAACCAAACTATATATTTTTATTAGTTTTATATATATTTTAAAATTTTAAATTAAAAATAATAATTTTATATCAAAATCTATTTAATTATTTAAAATTTTATATTAAAATAATATATAAAAGTAAAAAAGTTAAATTTAAAAAATTAATAAACTAAACTGAATAAAAAAATTGATTTAATTCGAATTGGATCAAATAAATGATCATTTAGATTGAGAAAAAAATTTTAAAATTCATAAATTATATAATATTCGAAAAATCAAATCAAATTCTATCCAACGGTTATTACCCAAAATTTTTAATTCTTAAATGGGCTTTGGAAATATGGGTCCAATTTTCTTGTCAAGTTTCTGTCTGGGGGCCCACCACAAATTGTAGACCCACATTGTTTGGATGGGAAGCAGGTTTAAGTGAGGCCCAATAAAACATAAAATCGGTCCTTTAGAGAACAGAAAAAAGTCCAAAATCGTTGACCAAGACTAGATGACCAATTAATTGAGGGGGAAAAAATGTATTTATAAAAAAAAAAAAAATGAAAGCAACGGGTTACGGATCCATGCGATATCTTTCTTCTACGTTTGAAAGGCTCGAAAAGGCAAAAAAAAGGGGGATTTTTTATTTGTTTTGAGAGCAAATTTTTCTGTGAAAAAAAAAATTAAGGGAGATGCGATTGCGGTGGTGCGTGTGGCCGTCCAATGAGAGATCGGCGAAGGAGGAGCACCACCGTTGATGGGATTTGTCGAGTTACAAATGACTTGGCAGCCGAGTCTACTCAGTGAAAAACGCAAGAAAGGCCCTCCTTTAGGCTTAAGAAACCTCGGCAACTCTTGTTACCTCAACAGCGTTCTTCAGTGTCTCACCTACACTCCACCGCTCGCCAATTTCTGCCTCCGCTCCCAACACTCCTCCTCTTGCGACGCCTCCGCCTCCAAGAAACCCCGTGACTGCCCCTTCTGTATTCTTGAGGCTTGGATTACACGCTCCTTAACCCTCGATCTCACCCTCGACTCGCCTTCCAAGATCCAAAGCTGCCTTAAAATCTTCTCTGAGCATTTCCGGTTCGGCCGACAAGAGGACGCGCACGAGTTCTTGCGCTACGTCATCGATGCTTGCCACAACACGTGTCTGCGTTTAAAGAAATTCCGGCGAAAGGGAAGTGAAGGAGGAGGAGGAGGAGGAGAAGCGGTGAATGGCAATACCGTAGTTAAGGAGATCTTTGGTGGTGCTTTGCAAAGTCAGGTTAAGTGTTTGGGGTGTGGTGGGGAGTCAAATAAAGTTGATGAGATTATGGATATTAGCCTTGATATCTTGAATAGTGGTTCACTTAAAGAAGCTATGCATAAGTTTTTTCAGCCTGAGATTTTGGATGAACATAATAAGTACAAGTGTGACAAGTAAGCTCAAATTTCAACTTTATTGAGTTATTAGTATTATTTATTTAGGTATCATTTTGTTGTTGCTTTTGCTACTTGCCTTTTGCTTTAGACTTGGAATAAAAGCAAACAATGGTATTGATGAATTTTATAGAATTGTCATTTTTAATCAATTTGGTTTTGTTTTGCTTTAACAACCATTTAAGAAGCAAAAAACAAGTAGCAAAAGTAGCAATCAAATGGAGCCTTATTTGTTTATGTGTTGTCGTTTGTTGGTTATTTTTTATACATGCGTTTACTTTCATAAGGAAAAAAGAAAAGGAAGAATTTAAAAACATAGTAATATAGTTTGTCTATATAACAAATATATGGTTTTACCTTCATATTACATGATTATGTTAGAATTGGTATTATATGTTTAGTCGTTCGTTCATTTTTAATCTATTATCGGCTTTTTAGGATAAAAAAAAAGGCAAAATGCAAGAGAAAAAGCAACAATCACATCGAGCCTGATTAAACACTTTGGTTTTTCTTTTGCTTATTCATTGTGTTTTTAATGAGATTTTTTTTTTAAAAATTTTTTTGTTTAGTTGTAAGAAATTGGTGGTTGCAAGGAAGCAATTGTCTATACGTCAAGCACCAAACATCCTAGTTATTCAACTGAAGGTAGGTTATGGCATTTCTTTAAACTCTTAATCTTGGTTTTGATTGCTGATATTACAGTTGCTTAAGTTAGTTGTTTTATTGGTTTTTGGAGTAAAGGAGTGATTGTTCGATCGTTATGGCAGAGATTTGAGGGAATATTTGGTGGGAAGATTGATAGGCTAATTACATTTGAAGAAGTTTTGGTTCTTTCAACCTTCATGTCTAAAGCAAGCCAGGTATGTTAAGTTGTTAATTTAACATATAAGTTTGTTTAATTGGTACAAGTTACACTTGCAGCATTCTATGAATTCTATAATCTAAATTTAACTTGGTGGATGATAATGATATAGTAGCGGTTACAAGTTAACTAATAATGGCTCTCTATAAGATGATATAAATGAATGACTAAGCAATAATGTACACTGCTAGGACAATGAGCAATAATCAAAAAAATATTTTCTATTTTCTTTATCCAAATAGTCTGAATAGCAAAATGTGGAGGTAGACCTTACACTAAGCACTAGAACTCCATTTTTTTTACCTTTGAATGATTTGTGGTGGAAGTTACTGTAGAGATGAAAACTCCAAGTGTTAGTGAATATTTGCCGTTTTCTTTATCCAAATAGTCTGAATATTACAATGGGGTGGCAGTGGTGGATCCAGGATATTTTTTTTTTCTGGGGGTGTCCACATAATATTTATAAAAAATTTTCGATGGATTTATCAATTTTGTTTGATGAAAAGCTGTTTTTCCTTCAAATTTTCTTATTTTTCAATTTTTGGGAGTGTCCGGAAAATTTTCCTTCAAATTTTCTTAATTTTCAATATTTGCAGGTGTCCATGGCCACCCTTTGAAAAAGGATGGATCTGCCCCTGTGGGGTGGTGGACCTTACACTAAGCTCTAGACCTCCATGATTTTTGAACTTTGAATAATTTGTGGTGGAATTTACCGTAGAGATGAAAACTCCAAGTGTTAATGTTGAGTAAGTCTTGTCACCATTACATTAGGGGAAGGAAAGTGAATGGTAGTTATTGACAAGGAGTGCATGATTTGGTTGAGGTAATTTCTGCATGTTTCTGCCAAATAGAATTTGATACAGAAAAAAATTTTCTTTGTAATACCATACAAAGTAATGGTTTCTACTTGTTCCCTGCTATATATCCTATATTCTGTCTTTTTTATTTTGTAATGTTGTTATTTTAAATACAGGATCCACAACCAGAGTATTACCTATTTGGTACTATTGTGCACTCTGGATACTCACCAGAATCTGGACATTATTATGCATATATCAAGGTGCTTATGCTGTCCGGTTTCTTTTACTTTATATTTATGGGTCAATGCAGCAATGTTGATTAGTTACTGACATTAGTTCACTGTTTGTAAAGGATGCAATGGGCAGGTGGTATTGCTGCAATGACTCCTTTGTCTCACTTTCAACCCTGCAGGAGGTCTTGTCAGAGAAGGTTTATATTCTTTTCTTCTCTCGTACTAACCAAATGCCAGGGTCTTTCAGTGCCACATTTTCTTCCAATGGAGTTAAACCACGTGATTCTAATGGAAGCAAGGCATCTAAAATCCATAAAGCTGTTCAATTGAAGCCTCTCCAAACAAAGCCTTATGTTGAACAATCTTCACCGAAGGATAAGGTTGGACTGTCTTCTGGCCCACGGGCGAAATTCAATATTTCTGAAAAACCTGGTCCCAAAAAGCTTCCTGTTACAAGTAATGGAAAAGTTGACTTCCATAAAACTCTGAACATCTCTGTGAATGGAGTTTCAAGGGATTCAATTCATATGGAGAAGAATGAGAAACATATGTTGTCATTGATGAATAGGAATGGTATTGACAAGAGTAGAAAAGTTGATGCTGTTGGTAGTGGAAAAAGCCGACCATTGGAATTGGCAAATGGAAGTTATATGAAATCAGAACCGTTTGTAGTTAATGGTACCAGGAGCTTGGCAATTGGAGGGCAGGTTGATATTGCCCCTTTTGATGCCTGTGATAACACAAGGCGAAAGAAAAATTCAGAAAACTTGTGTGATATTTCAGGACCAAAAAGAAAATCGGAAGATTCTTCTGATATCTCCAGGGCAAAGCGAAAATTAGAAGGTTCTTGTGATATCTCACGGCCAAAGAGAAAATCTGAAAATTCCTGTAATATCTTAGGGCCAAAGAGACAATCAGAAGCCTCTTATGACATTTCCGGGCCAAAGAGAAAATCAAAGGACTCCTGTGATAACACAGGTCCAATGACAAAACCAAAAGACCCCTTTGTTAACGCAGGGCCAAATGGAAAATTGCAAGACTCCTGTGTTTACTCAGGGCCAGAGAAAACAGAAAACTCCTGTGATTTCTCCATGCAAACGGAAAAATCCTGTATTTTGCTTTCCCAGGATGCTGAATCTCGTGCAGAAGTTGAGAATATGAAAGAAATGTAAGCTACATTCTCTCTTTTTCTTTAGGGATGCCTTTGGTCTAATTTATACTGATTACTCTCTAGGTGCTGCATAGTAGTTATTTGTGATTATGAGGTTCTCTTTCTTTTAATATCATTGTTTTATTGTGGTTTATGCATACCTGAAATCTCTCTGAATTGGGAGATCAATTAGTTGGAACTAGGGAATGGCATAGCTGGTCTAAGAGTTATGGATTTAGTCATGCCAGTACTTTTTGAATTTGTATTTGGAATAATTGTTAAGCTGGCGTCTTCTACCCCCTTCCGTGCTATTGTTAACTTGCACAGATGAGCAAGTCACTTTTGTAATCTAGTTTCTTAATTAGTTGCATTATCACCAAATGCTTGGTAGTCTGATAATATGCTTTATTGATAAATATATCAAAATAGTTGTCTTTGCTTGTTTGCTATGCCGCATCTGACAATAGTTACCCAGTTTTAAAAAATTGATTTCTTTACTGTTGAGCTATTCCTGGTTGTGTTTAACTTGTCAAAAGTTGCTTTTTCATTACCTTAACTCTATTATTTTGGAATGTTTCAATCTGATGAGACATTTACCAGGTTGGGAAAAGAAGCTTCTTCATTTTTGCGGTCTTGTGGCTGGTACAATAATGTTTACAGTTTCATGTATTTGAGGAAGCAGTTGTACAGGCAGGAGATTGGAAGCACCCTTAGTGGCAATGATTTAGAGTAAGCCTTTCTTAAACTGTTATGTAACATGTTTAATTCTATGTTCACTTCAAGTGTGCATGATTTTGTTTAGGAATTTATGCACATTAAAAATTGCCTTTTATTTCCTATGCTAGATGCACTACCCAAATCTCATTTATTTTATAATTTTGTATTGTATTTTGCTAGTCAGTAATCTCCCCTAATCTTATTACAGTGTTATATTGTTTCAGCATTATTAGGTTTCATAAATAGGAAACTTTGAATCATTTCCTTCACTACTTTTTATGCAGGAAGAAGTTGATTGTAGATGCGAAGTCAACCTTTATTCGACAAATACCCGAGTCACTGAAGGAGGAATTAATCAAACTTCTCCTATCTTTTAGCCAAACAAAACGAGAATCTCTGGATCCTTGATCAACTTAACTGGTAATGAATCAAGTAACCCTTCACTTCTTGGTATTCAGTTATTCCGAACTCTGATAATTATTGTTGTGAGTTCTTGGCTAACAGCTTGTATTCTTGCCGATGCCTTTTGCAGTCTTGTAGCGCAAAACCTCGGTTTATAATCTATATTACCAATTGGTGTTGCAGTGAAAGAATATCTTTGGGTGTATGTTAGTCCTGTCTCTTTGAGCGACTTCCAGCAAAATGGCAAGAGATTGCCTTCTTCATACATTATCATTTGTGGATGGCAATATCATGATGCTTGAAGGTGACCTACCGGTGATTTTGAGATTAAAGTGTAGAGTTCAAATATTGCCTAAAGTTTTGATCTTGGAGACCTTGAAGTTGTGGTTTTTTGGGAGAGAAGTGATGAATCTTATTCATTTTGTACGATACGCATTTATACATTTTGGAAAACATCATTCGTTAGCATAACAATTTTGCCACCAAAATGTGGTCGGTGTTACCCGGTGTATGTAATACTATCAATGAGTTAAATGCTATTTTCGATGTTTCTTCATCTTTGACTGCCAATTATCACATTCCTTCTGTCGGTTCATCCCCTCCATTTGGAATTGTTAAAAGATTCTTTCCAACTTTGTATATTTTTTCTTATTTGGAATTAATTTTTTGAGATGAAATCCTAATTTCTTTTTAGCTATAACGCAGACAAGATCTCGGTTGGAGGCCCAAAATCCAAGAAGCCCATTCCAAATGTTTCTTTTCAAAATCCAAATCGGACGGAGTCGGACTCGGATGAGCCTTTTCCTTTTAGTACTTTGCGCTCAACACTTTCCACACTTTTTCCCTATAAAACCATTATCAAACTCAAACCTACCAAAACCCTACGCAGTTTTTTTAACCTCTTCTCTGTAGAAATTCGATGGCACCAAAGCGATCAAACCCCATTGATGACCCACCAGCTGCATCTTCATCTGAAGAAGAAGAAGAGGTGACTTCCTCTGAAGAAGGAGACGAAGATGAAGAAGAAGGATCTTCTGAAGAAGAAGAGGAAGAGGAGGAGCCAAAAACACAAACTACTCCAACAACCCAGAAAAGCCCACCTCCCAAAAAACCCGAAACTTTCGCCCCTGCCATTGCCGTTGATGAATCTGACGAATCCCGATCTGATTCCGAGTCCGAATCCGACACGCCAACTCCAAATGTCAAGCCTATTGCTACGAAACCCATGGAGGAAACTTCAAATATAAAAAAAACCAGATCCAAGCCCTTGGCTTCACCCGTTAAAGCATCTTCAACCAAGCGGCCCATTGAATCGGAGCAAGAAGCTAAGGAAGCGAAACGGCCCAAGAAGAAAGTCGAGGAAGAAGGGACCGCTACCACTGTTGTTGTTGAGGAGGTAAAGAAGACTGGAGAAGATACAAAGAAGCAGCTTTTTCAGAGGCTCTTCAGTGAAGATGATGAAATTGCTGTGTTGAAAGGTATGTTGGATTATTCTGCACAAAATGAATCTGATCCTATTGCTGATATGAATGTGTTTTATGATTTTGTTAAGAAATCAATTCATACTGATGTCACCAAAGCTCAGTTAATGGATAAGATTAGGAGGTTAAAGAAAAAGTTTGAAAACAATGCCGGAAAAGGTAAAAAGGGCGAGGATCGGACTTTTTCAAAACCCCATGAGCAGAAAGCTTTCAAATTGTCAAAAATGATATGGGGCGAAGATGGAATTTCTGGAAAAGTGGAGTCGTCTGCTAGGTCCAATGGGAAAGCGAAGGCAAATAGCAAGGCTTTGACTGCTGTGAAAGTAGAGTTGCCTTCTTCACCTGAGAAAAATGTGGAACGGGGAGAGCCAATGGAGGTTGATAAGAAGAGTTCTAAGAATTTGGGTAGTTTGTTTGATAAGAGGTTTGGTGTGGCCGGCTTGGAAGAGGAACTTTTAAAGCATGGGTTGGATATGGTTGGGGGAGAAAAGAAGGCCACTTTAGAGGAGAAGTGGAGAAAATTGCAGATTGCTGAGTTGGAGCTGTTTGTGCAACGAACTGAGTTGGTGAAGGAGCATGCCAAGTTGATGCTGGAATTTTACAAATCTGAAAACAAATAGAGTGCTTGTAATAAGTAATGATATTTTTATGTGCTATTTAAAGAAATTTTGTTGGTTATTAGTTATTTTATTTTTATGATTTACCATTTTTGTAACTTGGGTTATATTAATCTCTTCCATGGAGAGTAACTTCTGAAGTTGTTTTTTTCTGCTTAAGCATGCTTTTCAGCATAATTTGTTATAGTTGGATTTACTTAATGTTTGATTATAGGTCATCTTATAGATGTTTACCTGACTGCTTCTTATATTACTAATTTTTGTGCGCCTTACTGCTTCTTATATTGTTAAATAGTTAGTGCAAAAGGCAATTGGAGGAAATATCAGTGTTAATTAGTTGGGTAGCATTTTGCAGATTCAAAACTCTTGCTTCTTGACTGACTTGGAAGACGCTAGGAGCTTATCATCAAAAGCCTAGGATCATTGCTTGACACCTTCATTGACCTCCTTAGCATATAAAAGTTTTTCCTTTCTTAGACATCTTGGTTTATGTTCTAACCTTATTAAAAGGAATTTGAGAAGCTTTTACTCTGTCATGGTCAGAAGTTGAGCTGGTACTGGTATTCTTTAACTGTTATTTGTAAATTGTAGACTAGTTTTTGCCAATATGAAATAGAAAATTATCTAAAATTTTCTTACTTTTTATCAATTTCCTCATTTCTTATCAGCCTCCAACTTATTCATTCAATTCTTGGTTTCATGTCAAAAGGCATGAAAAGCTATGTCGACCAGATACAAACAATGTGCTATCTATCACTTTTCTTTTTTCTGTGAGAAGAAATTGTATATCAGCTTGACCCTTTATGAGCATGACAGCAGCATTAAAAATCACTATCACACCGAATTATCAATTTTTGATTGCTGAATTGTTTAATTAGTTAGCTTTCAAAGGAAAATAGCTGGACATGATTGTTTATTTGTCTGAAAATACTAAAACTATGTAATGAGTGTTAGCATTAGTTGTTGTAATTGGGGAAAAAAGATAAGGAGATTGCCAGTTCTCTGCTTTTTAGATACACTGGATCCTGAGCTTAATATAATTACCACAATGGTAGTATAATGGATTGTGATTTGAGTAAGGTGGGAATAGAGGGTTTTTTGACTTGCATTCAACTATTTGAGCATTATGACTATTATTGTACTTGCTTTGAGCACCATGGAATAGGTTTTCCACACCTTGTTTATGGACAAACTGAAGAATAATCAATGACTTTAAAGTGAACGGAAGTCTACCATATGGTCCCATTGTCATTTTGTTTGAATTTGTGTGGTTTTATTCTGGTAGAATGATGATAAAGCCGTATGATTGGATTAAATTTTAAGTTAAGCCCTCATCTTTGCTAAGGGTTGCCATGGGGTGGTGATAAAAGATGTGGTTGATTAATGCTACTTTGTCCTACAAGTACGAAAATAAAATTATGACATAGGCCTTGTATAATTTGAACATTTCATAAATGGAATTAGCTTTTCAGGGCCTTGTTTCAAAATAGGAGACCTCAACCATATCAGTTGGATAAAACTGTGAAGATAAAAATGAGCAGCTTCTTAATGTTAACCTTATCCTAAAAAAAATTACAAAAGAAAAAAGCTTGTAATACTACTCCAATGTTTACAAGAAGAGAAAAATGTAACCAAAAAGAATTGAAGCGCATCCAATTGAGGCGTGGACACGTGGTGACAACATGAACTGGTACGTGGCTTGACTAACAAAGCCACGATGTAACCCATAGTCCCAAAGGGATAAAGATGAATAGCAGCAACCGTAAGCAAGAGTTTATGTAATCTGACGCAGGGTCTGATAAGACTAAAAGAAGCCCAAGGAAGACTCGGAAATGTATCAAAGGAGAATTCTACTACGACATTCATTTACCGTCTCATTTGGGTTATATAAGAGACATCTTCACTTGTTTTACCACAGCTTGAAAATAAAGTGAACAGAAAAACAATGGCAGATGAAATTATCTTATTGGACTTTTGGCCAGACCCATTTGCAGTGAGGGTGAAAATTGCATTGGCAGAGAAGGAATAGACTATGAATGAATCAAAGGAAGAGGATTTGAGCAACAAAAATTCTCTACTTTTAAAGGTGAATCCTGTTCACAAGCAAATCCCAGTGTTGATACACAAGGGGAGACCTGTCTCTGAATCCCTCATCATAGTTCAATATATTGATGAGGTTTGGAGGGACAACTCTCCTCTGCTCCCTTCCCATCCTTGTGACAGGGCTAATGCCAGGTTCTGGGCTGACTTTGTTGACAAAAAGGTTACAAGTTTAACTGCTGCTCCCACTATTGGTTATTACTTAGCATTAACAACTTATTAGTTATCTTTTTAGATTCATTGATTTTTTTTTTAACAAAACCTTTTTTATATTTATTTTATTTCTTTTAACCTAGCTGAGAAGTTTCACCATTGAATATGAAAATTTGCAGATATATCGCACGGGGAAGTTGGTATGGGGAGCAACAGGTGAGGTCCAAGAAGCTGCAAAGAAAGAGCTAATTGAGTGCTTCAAATTGCTGGAAGAAGAGCTGGGAGCCAAGCCTTTTTTTGGAGGTGAGAGCTTTGGGTTTACAGATATGTCATTGATTCCCTTCTACAGTTGGTTCTATCAATTGGAGACCTGCGGGAACTTGAGCATTGCAGCAGAGTGCCCAAAGCTGGTTACATGGGCTAAAAGATGCATGGAAAGGGAGAGTGTGTCCAAGTCTCTGCTTGACCAACATAAAATTTATTGCTTCATTATGGAGCTTAAGATGAAATTTGAGGGAAAATGAGGTCGTTTACCATTTTTCCCTTTACTAAAAGCCTTCTAGGCTTTTCAATAAATATGGGGTTTGGTTATTTTGTTGTATTTCAATAAAAGTTGTTAAATTATAATAAAAAAAGCTTAATGTTTGTTTTATTTTTTTATATCCTGGGCAGACGAAATAATAAAACAAGCTCAGAGCACTTATCATAATCAAACTTAATACAATATTTATCAGAATTAATGGAGAAAAGAGGTTAAAAGTCGACCTTGTAGTAAAACAACATGATCAAAATTGTTGTGCTTGTCAACCGCCATATACAGAAACTTGCCTAGTGCAAACTCATTCCTTTAAACAACTCAAACATGTTCTAATGTAAGTACAGTCCGAATTGCTTCGCTCAGTCTAACAGATAACAGGTCTCCTTTGAACTATAGGACTGTTCCCCAGATGTAATGATCATCCAAAACAAAATATAAAGGAGAGTGACAAAGATCAAGATATCTAATAATTACTTGAGATTAGGTCACAATTTGGAAGCTGATTCTTCCAAATTTTTGTAGGTAAGATATCGTATCCAAATTAAAAATTTGGAAGCTGATTCCTCTATTTGACTCTCTCGATCGTCTACTACATGGTCTGTCTTTTTTTCATTTTCTTTATGTTTTCTATGGTTGTCGCGACGTATAGGTCTGGGAATCTAAACACCAAACTCGAGGAATGAAAAAATGGAGGCTAAAAAGCATTTTTTAAAAAAATCAAAATAAAAAATCATTATCAATTTTTTTTAAGGTGTGATTAACCACCCATAATTTTTATTCTTTTAATAAAATATTTAAAACAAATTTAAATTTTACTAAAAGAATATTTTGTGATATGCAAAAATCAGAGTTAGATCCGGAGTCGATTACTATGGGAAAGATTAGCACTTTTATAGCACCCATCGAAGACAGTACCAATTAATTACATATTATCCTTAAATTTTGATAAAAATCGTCCCATTTTGATGTTTATAAACTAATTCCATTCTTTCATTTGTTTATTCCAAAGCTGAATCTTTTTTTTTAAGCAAATCATTTTTTATTTATTATGAAAATAAAAACCATTTATTTTTGCCTCAAAATAAAAAAGTCCTAAGTTTTAAGACTTTTTTTTTTCACTTTCTTATAATTAGGTAGAGTTTCAAAAATAGTTTTAACTTATAAGTTTTCAAATTATCTCACAAAATTAAGATAACATCTCACGTAAATAATAACTATTAAGAGTCTCCATATATTTAGACCAGATTCTTAAATGTTATATTTACTGGAGATATCATCTTATTTGAAAATATTTTTTTTTAAAAAGACATATTTTATAAAACATATGTATAGAATACATGAACATAATAATATATGATGAATGCATGATAATGAATGATAAAGCATGAATGCATGACAATTATAGAATTTATGTGACAACAAAATAATATGAAATGTGAATGCATAAATGGGATCAAATGGTTTTTGGGTTTGAGGGTTGATTTAGGGTTTGGGGTTGGTTTAGGGTTTGGGGTTGGTTTAGGGTTTTAAAGCTTATTATTAGGATTTTGATTTAAGGTCTAGGGCTAGGGTTTAGGTTTAAGGTTTAGGGTTTGATTTTAAGGTTTAGGGTTTGGTTTAACATTTAGGATTAAGGGTGGTTTAGGTTTAAGATTTGGGATTTAAGTTTAGGGTTTAGGGTTTATGGTTTGAATTTAAAATTTAAGGTTTAAATTTGGGGTTTGGATTTGAGGTTTGAGGTTTAGGATTTTGTATAAAAATGCATGTAACAAAATCAGCAAAAATGCCATTGATAAAAATGTAAACTTTTATGCATGTAACAGAATTACTAAAATGCCATTCATAGAAATGCAAACTTTGATGCATGGGAGTAATGTGACAAAAATTACCAAGATGCCATTAATGAAAGTGTAAACTTTAAGGCATAGATCATATATGAAAACAAACATATTATATACTTAGGCATATTTACAAATATATTAAAAACTAAATATGTATGCAAAAATATAGCAACAATAAATTAAACACCAAGGGTTTTAAAAATTTAAAGACATGTTCCGCCATTTTTTTTTTTTGTTTTAATTCAAACACATGTAAACAACATAAAATCACCAACAAGTTTATTAATCTAACATTTTTATTCATTAAAAATTTAATCAAACACGTACAAAACATGAAGAACAAAGCAAGAACATAAGCATTCAAAGATGAACAACCAACATTTGGCCATGAAATAAGCTAGGAAGTTTTAGCCAAGCATGGGAATGGCTTGGCCAAATACTTCCCATGGCAATTACATAAGTACAATATTTATTTAACTAAAACATGCATCAATCACTTATAAAACTATCATTTGAAAGAATTTATATCATAAAAGAAATTTCATCAAATATGTAACACACTAACTAAAAAGAAAACCATGAAAACATAAAATACTAGCCAAACACTACAAACTATAAACTAATAAGTAAACATGCACTAAATAAGTAACATAAGACTTCATTCACCCATACATTTTATTTAAAGCAAGAAAAACATATAAAGGGACCAAGAAAAGGTTCAACCAAGGGAGATGGTAGCTTGGCCAAACCTTTTAATGGTTGTTAATGGTGAATTTTGATGTTTGTTTGATTTTTCCTTACTTCAAAACATAATTATTAATTAGTTGGTTAAAAACTTAGATAAAACATGAATTTAAAAAGATGAACAACTATAAATTTTCTCACAAAAACATAAAAATTAAAAGATAAATAATATGAAAACTATAAACAATGATATGAAATATAATGAGAAAAACTAGCAGAATTTATACCTTCACAAGCCTTTCCAATTTTTCTATTCCCGTTTCTTTTTTTTTCCCTCTTTTTTCACCAATTTCCAATAGCTTTCTCCTTCTCCATGCAGCCCTAAATGATGAATAAATATCTCATGCAATTGAATAATGGCCCTTGATCATGAGATGCATATTAAAGCTAAGAATCTACCCTTATTTTTCATTATAAAATCATTTTTCACCCTTGGATCGACAATTATGAAAGATCAAGGTATATGATGAATCCAGCACAAAATGAAGCTCTAAGTGCTAGTAAAACAGTATGAAATAACTGATTTTTCCTTTTAAAAGTTATTATTTTTTTATGTAATTTCTTAGAAAACCATGATCTCTTCTTTGTCTTTGTAATTTTAAAGCACCAAAAATCTTAAAATAATATGAAATTAGGGTATGAAAGTTTTTGCAAAAAACCAACCTCAAGAAGGTCAAATAACAAAAATACCTCTTAAGGGCATTTTTGTAATTTTATATTTTTCGAAGTGCGATCAAGGTTTTTAATGCACCAAAAATCAATATATAACATAAAATCATAATCTTGAGCTTTTCACAAAAAACAACTTCAGATAGATTAATTTATGAAAATACCCTTAAGGGTATTTTAGAAATTTCATACCTTCTGAAGTACGATTATGATTTTTGATGCATAAAAAATAATAAAATAATATTTAAATGTAACCTGAAAGTTTTCATGAAAATCCAACTTCGAGAATGTCAAATTATAAAATACTCATGAGGGCATTTCAATAATTTTATCCTTTCCAAAATGCAATCAAGGAAATTTCTTAGCCTTATTAATCCCATTTAGTTGTGAATTTTGAAGATTGGCATGAGTTAAATCTAACTTAACTGATTTTCACCACATTTGACTAAATTTGACTTTATTTGATCAAGTTTGACCTTAGGGTGTTTGTGTCAAATTGGTCTTATATTCGATTCTGAAAATTTTTCAAAATTAAAGAAATGTTGGTTTTAAATTATGTCAAATTTTAATAACCTCACAGCTGATAAAATTTTGCTCGTACAAATTTAGGTGTTTACAGTGTTTTGAAATAAAACCACATTCATTATTAATATTGAATTTTTTTGTCAAATAATTCAAGTTGTTATAAATGATATGTCACAAAATTATTTGTGACTTGATGAACTAGAGTAATGGAGATAAGAAAAAAAATAAGAGAGAGATAAGACCAGAAGAAGAAATAAGAGAGTAGACAGCAAAATTTTGTAAATTCTCATTCATAAGCCTAACTGTTACATTCTTATTTTTTATATATAGCATAGCACATGCTTAATGGAATTAGTGTTTGGTACATGCATAACACACGTATAATTTTTTTTTAAGTTCATTTCAATAAATAATTTTTTAATACTATGATAATAATAATCAATACTAATAATTTAATTTTAATTTTGATATAATATAAGTAAAATTTTATATTTTTTATATAATTTTAATTTCGATAACCTTTGATAAAATTTTGGTAACCTTGATACAATGTAGGTAAGTTATGATATAATTTTGGTAACCATTGATACAAATTTGATAATTTTTTATAAAATTTTGATAATCTCTTGATGTAATTTTAGTAACATTTTGATAACTTCTGATACACTTGTGATAATTATTGATAAAATTTGTGTTATCATATATTTAATAACAGATACCTATAGGAAAGCACATGTTCAATTTTAATATAAGATAATTTTTTTATATAATAACATTATTCTTTCATTGAAATTTAGAATTTTTTTGACTAAATTTTTTTATTAAATAAATTTATGGTAGGTTTATCTTAACCTCCCAAGATGAAATTTCTAACTCCGTTTTTGTTAGTAACCAAGGTTCAATTCTTGACAACTTCAAGTATATAAAAAAAATCAATCATTAACAATTAAGTTATCATAGATTTGCTATTATGTTATTAGCGATTTACTACTAAGATATTAATGATATACTGTGTAATACCCATAAAAAAGAGAGACTATTTTACGTATTTTTATAAGTGAAAGGATTCTTTAATAAAGAATGAGAAATGTAGAGGACCTATTGATAAATAACCAATTTTTTTAATAGGGTTAACTTATTCTATTTTCGGTGGATGATAGGAAAAATAAAACTTAGTTCTCCTCTCTTTCTTTTTATATAAAAAAGACATCAAAGGATTTCAAGTGAAGGATAACAACAAAATTTACAAGGAGAATTTTTGTCAAGGTGAGTAAATAATTTTGTTCAATTTTGGAATATTGATTGTTAAGTTTTTAGGTGTAATTTATAATCGAGAAACCAAAAA